GACAGTAGGTGCAAAGGCCCTGTGGTGGGATAATAACGATGTCTTCAAGGAACATAAAGAAAACAGTCTGACTGGTGTGGAGTACACCCAAGAGAGATGAAAGGATGTGGTCAGGGTGCCAAGTAGCACAGGCAGGAGTTTAGCAGTTTGCATTTTAATCTAAGAGCAACAGGAAGCCAACAAAAAGTTTAAGCAGCCAGGCAAGCAGATTTGATTTGGCTTTTAGAAAGATCACTCTGGCTACTGAGCAAAGGTTTGGCTGTGGGGAGGCCCACTGGGAAGCAGAGAGAGGAGAGATGGGCAGGATGAGAGAACGCAGGGGTGGGAGCAGTGAGGAGCTGTCATTCCAGGACGCGTCCTGAAAGGAGAGCCCGCAGAGTCAGCTGGCAGCAGCAGAAAGAGGGTGGTCGAAAATGCCGCCATGTGTTTCGGCCTGGGCACTGTTAGGATGGAGCTGTCTTCAAGGAAGATGGGCAGGCTGCGGGAGAGCAGGTGGACTCTCTCAAAAGTTCCTCCTGGTGGTGCAGTGGAGACACTTTGAAGACACCAAAGCCACATCCTGGACAGGACATCTGGTGTGAGCTAAGCCACAGGCCCTGGGCGAGGTGCGGGGGGGCAGACACGCCAAGCATGGGGCAGGCAGCTTTCTCCAGAAGCCGCCACCAGCCTTCACAGCACTTACCACCCCGCGCGGGTCAAGGCTGGGGCTGGGCACAGACGGCCGGCGTCGCTCACCAGCGTCCTGGGCCCAGCCTCTCCTCGAAGCTGGGGCACCGGCCCACCCGCCCGCTGGCTGGCGCCCCCTCTACTCTGTCTCCTGCCTGCCCCCCCGCTGCCCCGCCCACTCCACCCCACGCCTCCTTCCCAGGCCCCGCTGTTGCGACAGCGAGAAAACTCTCATTATCTGACGGTTAGGTTGGCTGCTCGGTCTCAACTCTGCAGGAGGACACGGAGGCCCAGCAGATGGTGGGGCCTCTCCGAGGATCAGCCTCAAAGGTCACCGTCTGTCACTGCCCACCCGCTCCAGCCTCTTCCGCATCGATGGAGTCCCTCATGCTGACTTAAGGCCCAGCTACAAGCTGTGCGGTGACATTTCCTATGGGCTGACTGTGTGCCAGGCTCTGTGCCGGGCCTTTTCTGGACATTAACTCTTAACTCCCACACCTGGCCTGTTAGACCGTTATCAACCCCATTTTACAAGTGAGGAAACTGAGGCACAAACAGGCTAAAGGATTTTCCAAGGTGGCAAAATCTGTCTGGCTCCAGCATCCAAATTCTTAACCGTCGTGCCGTGCAACCTCCCCTTCACTGAGCCTCAAGTTTCTTCTCCACTGCAAAATGAATGAGGGACTCAACAAAAGGATTTCTGGATCCTTCTGAGCTCTTTCCAGATCCTTCTGAGGTCCAGGCTTTGAAAACTGCTTCCTTCCAGGGCACTTAGAATGTTCCTTCTCCCCCCAACAATGGTTGCTCTCAGGAAAAGATCTTATTGGCTCATTCACACTATGGTGTAAATGACTGATATAGTGAGTAGATGTGGTGGATATGGTGAGGTAACTCTGGAGGAGCAGAGACTCAAACCCAGGCCTAACTGGCTCCAAAACCTGGGCTGTCCCCACACCACAGCTTTGTACAGGCCACATCCTCTGGGTTTAGGATCTCCTCCAAAAGGTATTCTTACATTCATCAGTATTCCCTGTCCTAAGAGAATGGAGCCAAAATGCAGGTGAAGGAAGAGGGTGGGGACAGGGAAGGAAGGCATGGAAACTGTCAGACTCACGACTTCCCAAAGTCGGGGCTTCTGATCCCAAGGAAGGCCTGGGTCCTGGTCCCACTTCCAACCCAGCTTCTTTGGGCAGGCCGCCTGGAAAGAGTCAAGGCTGGGAGCCGGGGACCTGACCTCCAGCCTTGCCCCACCACATCATCAGGGCTCAGTTTCCACATCTGCGGGACAGGGAGTTGGCCCTTCCAGCTCTGACAGTTGCGTGTTTCGCTCCCCCCAACCCCAGCTGTGACTGGACCCCATTAGCTTTGTCCAGGCAGGAAATCACCCCTCGTGCCCCCGAAGCCCAGAGCTGCTGCCCACAGGAAAGCCAGCTCCTGGAGGAAGGAGAGCTGTCATCACGCCTCTGGTGGGTGCTCCCAGCAGCCCCGCTAACAGACTTGGCGGGGAGCGGAGCCGGGCTGGGGTCACGGTGCCCTTTGAAATATACCTGACATGCAGCTCCCCAGCCTCCTCTCCTCTCCTGCCTGAGGCTCCCGCTCCTGACCTCCCTTCCCAAAGTTCAACCTTTTTGCCCCTGCAAATGGCTTTTAAGTTTCTTGCCCAGCCTCTCATTTCTACCAGTTTAATTATTGAGGAGCCCTCTTGTCGCCAGCCTGGAAGATTAACGCTGTTAAAAGGGACCCAGGGAATGTGGACCACAGCCATCTGTCTCTGGCTCTCTCCATCTCCCCCCTCCCACCCCCTTTCCTTCTCAACAGGCCCCCTGTCCCTCATTCCTTCTCTCCTCCCCAGGCCTCTACCTCCCAGTCCGGTCTCGCTCTCTGTGCAGCCCTGCCCCCCACACTCATCTCTGCCATCTGAGGCGGCACAGACAAAACTGAGGCCACGGCCACATTCATATGTGACCAGATGGGCAGAGGAAAAGGAACAAAAAGGAACGCCTGTGAGCCCCAAGGCTGGCGAGGCACTTTGGCCCCAGGCCCCCTGGCCCCATCCTGGGCGGGGTTAGCATGGAAGTCACAACTCACTCCCATGTTGGGCACTGGGCACCTCATCCTGAAATATCCATATTTCCAAGAACACGCTTTAAGGCCTAATGCTGACAGTGACCTTCCTTAACCTTTACCTTCGTGTCAAGTGACTCCGCTCAACTCCTTCCATCTTTCCCACCTCCCTATAAAGAGCGCAGTGGCTCCCCTCTGGGAGGTGGCAGGGAGGGACCCTCACTGATGTCACAGTCCCAAGGATCCAGTCAGGCTGTTTTAACACAGAGTCACAAAGGTATTAAAAAGCTCAGAGACTGCAGGAGCCCCACGTTGTCCGGCCTTCTCAGTGGCTGGGGGTCTGTGCCCCATCCCCAAGCAGACAAGGAATCTAGGGCTTGTCCCCTCTGCTGGATGGCCCAGGTCGCCTCACCTCCCAGGCCTGGGTCAGGCAGGCTGAAGTGAGGACTCAGAGATGCCCAGCTACCATTAGGCCCTGGCCTGGGACAGCTGAGAGCTGCTCCTGCGCCCTCTCGTGGGTCTCCACTCCTCTGCAAAATCGGGCAGGTGGAGGAGCTGGACCAGGCTGCCCATGCCCAAACCACCGCACCAGGACATGACCACGAGCTCACAGCTCCCCAGGGACCATTCCAAGTGTCCACTGCAGGGGCCAAGTTTCCTTCCAGTCTCCTGCCTCATCCTAATTTTGCATTTTTTAGAACGCACTTATTTGTTTTAAAAATTAAAATAATGTTTTCATCCAGATCATCAGGTAAAACAGACACTCCAGGAGAAAGGCCCAAAGGCCAAGACCACAGGGCACAGGTGGCCCAGACCCGCGCTGGCAAAGGTCCATCCCCAGCCCACATGGGACAGGACAACTCCAGCCTCCTTTCTTTCCCACCCACGCCACCCCAATCCTCAACACAGGGACCTTCTGCACCTTCATCCTCACTTCTACCCCGGCCCCCAGACCGCCCCCAAGTACCAGTGCATCATGGGATTGGGCAGATGGGTTCCAGAAAGGGTCCAGGTGAGAGAGCTCTGACCTCAGCACTTCCCACCCTGCGTGGGGCCAGACAGCCTCTCAGTGCACTCCCTAACTCCGGAGCCTGAGGAGCCAAGGGGCCAGCATCCGACACAGGGTGAAGGAGGGACCCAGCGGCTTCCTCTGTGCATCCCCTCCTCCTCCCTCACCCTATTCTCTCTCTCTTCCTCCCCTTTCTCACACACACACAAACACGCACATGCACGTGCATGCACACACCCACCCACACACACACACACACACACAGCAAACAGGGAGGCTCCCAGAGAGAAGCGGGCACATAATTATTGGTAAAATGCTTGTAATGTTTTTCTCTCTACCCGGTAGCTTTCAGTTGTTTTAGCAGCTTAGCGAAGCACTTGGCTCCAATTGAATTGCAAATCAGCAGCTCTTGCCCCAGGAAGAGAGGAAGGGAGGCGGCAGGGAGGAATTCCAGAAGGAAACGGGGAAAGGGAGAAAGGTGCGCAGGGAAGAAGGGCAGAAGGGAGGAAATGAGCTGGGGAAGCTGGGTTCGGGGCCGAGGGCCCCAGAAACAGGGGCCACCTGCTCCCTCCAGGCCTTCCCCCCCGCCGCCCCCGACCTCAACTGCATTCTCTGCAGGCCCGGTAGCCCAACACCCCATCCAAAAATCAGGACACCATTTCTAGACATAATCTTGGGGTACAGCAGGAGGGCCAGGCGGGGCTTTCTCAACTACCCAGAAGAAAAACATAGCTTTCTTGGGAATTGAAATTATTTGAAAACAACGACAAAACAAAAGTCTTGCTTTTTCTCCCTGGCAATCTCCAACGTTCATATGTTTCCATTCTATCTATCTGTCAATCTTTTGATCTGTCTTCCTTACTATCTACCTATATTTCTATCTATCCATCTGTCTGTCTTTTCATATATCTGTCCGCCTATCTCCTCCCCGCTTCCGTTGCTCGCCAGTACTTCCTTCTCCCCTCTTGGTTCAGAATTCCCTGCAGAGGAGCGAAGGTGACAAGGAGCCGCCCGCAGCAGATGCCATTTCAGCACCACGGCCAGCACCAGGCAGCCCCGTCCTCCCCAACGCCTTCGCTCTGCTGGATCTAAGCTCGTCCACAGGACTGCCCCAAAGTCTCAGATAACTGCTCCCAGGGAGAAACCCCGCGGAGTCAGGAAGAGAAGAGGAGAAAGGAGCTGGCCAGGGGGGCACCCTGGGCGTGGAGGGCTGGGGCTGCTGGTGGAAGACCATCTCTGGGGCCAACCGTCAGGCACTAACCTTGAAGAGGCGAAGGATGTTGGCCACCATGATGGAGACCGAGCTCCCTGACGCACCGATGACACCCACCACACGTTCAGGTTTGGTGATGATGGGTGGGCCACCACTGCCACAGCGGACCTCTGTGCCATCCTTCTCGATGAGCGCCTGCACAAAGGTCAGCGACTGCTCGAGGGCATGGGTGTCCCTGGAGCAGGTGTCCAGAATGCGGGCGCCCAGCGTGATGTTGGGCAGCAGGTCTGGGTCATTGTTGATGCGATCCAGAGCGAAGAGCATGGCCTCCAGCCGGTGGATGCCCTTTTCTTTCTTAAGCTCTCCACAGGCCTTGCCCTCTGAGCCCCGGCCGTGCACTGGGAACAGGCCTCCCAATGTGATGTCCCCATCTATGCGGATGGAATTCATGTGGGGGTGGCCCTTGGGCTTCCCCAGGGAGGAAGGCACCCAGGAGCCATAAAGGCTGAGGAGCAGGCAAAGGGGCAGCCGGGCCCACCACCAGCCCCAGCCTCTCTTCCCAGGCATCTCGGAAAGCCCTAGAGACCCATGAACGGCAGGCCCCACTCCTAGCCTTGGCAGGCCCCCGGCCCCACAGCCTGGGCGAGCATGGGCAGAGCCACCCCCACAAGTCTCTCCAGGGCAGCTTCAGCAGTGGGGTGGCTGAGGGCAGCTGACGGGATGAACCATGCCGGTGCTCCTTGCAGCTCAGGCAATGCTCAGTTGCCGGCACAATCCATGCCCACACGTGGCAGGGTGTGGCCGGGGCACAGCGAAGCTCTGGTCTCAGTCGCCACGTCCTGAAGGCCTGTTCTTGGTGGATGACTGTGAAAAGAGCAGAGTATTCCTAGCTTGGCGTCTCTTGGCATCAAGGAGAAAACAGCTCCAAGGCTCTTCTCCTACCAACCTTAGAAGGGAGAGAGAGAGAGAGAGTCAAACAGAAGCCCCGAGAAGACATTAGCTCTTCTGATCTCTCTCCAGGAGCCTGAGAGAAGGAGATGCTGGAAGGTATGGCCAAAGACTGCACAAATCTGACCCTGGTTTCCTCCCGGCAGCCGCTCAACTTTGGTTTAAATGAGAGCGCTTAAGGCAGAAATTAGGTTCTGCTTGACGATTTCTTAAGGCCTGTGCCCACTGCCACGCAAAGCCCGGGCATCAGAGAGCACACTCCCCAGGGAACAGCCTGGAACTGGCCTGGGAGGAAGAAGCGCCTTCCTCACCCTCACTCACTTGAAGGAGTAGAAGGAACCAGTTGCACTGGGCCCAGCCCCAATTTAGAGAAGAGGAAACTGAGGCCCCAAACAGGGGAGTCACACGGGTAGTGAGCAGAACACCGACTAGAACCCAGCTTCCCAGCTGCCAACTCTGGAACCAGAGACACTCAGGCTCTTTGGGGACTCAGAGCCCAGGAAAGCTCACAGGGCCCCTGGAGAAGAAATCGGGCTGGAGCCGCTCACTGTGAAGGCCCGGGAGAAGCTGGGCTGTCAGAGTTCAGGATTCTCCCCCTAAATCAGGAAACGTGAGGTGGACCCTCCTGCTTCACATTTCCACCCCAGCTGCCCAGCTACCCCAGCCAGAGGGTAAACCCAGCGGCTCCCGAAGGAGCAGCCAGCCTCCTTTTCACCTGCTCGGCCTCCCTCCCCCTCCCTCTGTCTGAGGGTCTTCTCTCCCAGCTTCTCCATGGCCCCTTCTCTCTCCCCTCCTTCCCCACTCTGAGAGTGGGGCTCAGGTTACGGCCTGAGCCACCGCACATTATGATGATCATCGTCATTATTATTGTTGTTGTGATTAAATATTTATTTGCAAGGGTAGAAGAGAGAACACAGCTCTTCCTCATTCTCACTGCTAATTTGGGCTAATTTCCCCTGGGATCCCTTCCCTCGCCCCAGCCTCCCTGCTCCAAGCAGGCAACCTCCCTCTTCTCGGCTTAGGAGGCCACAGGGAGGAGGACTGGAAGCTGAGTCAGGGCTTGGCGGGAGAGCCCACCCCAAGGCCCCCGGCCCCATGGTCTTGCCAGCGAAGACCAGCAAGTCTCTTGCTCGTTCTGTGCCTCGGTTTCCTTAGCCATTTGGCAGAGGGGCTTGTGTTCAGATTGGGAGGTTTCCCTGGGGACGTGGTCCCTCTATCAAGGCCAAGCAGTGGTCCTGGAGCCACCCCTCTCCCACTTGTAATTCCCCCCCTAGAGGCCCTGACTGCTCCAGCTCCGGGGAAAGTCAGGGGAGGAGAGGGGATGGCACCCCAGACTCCAGCCTCAGCTCCTGGGCTTCTCCGGCAGTCCCTTCCGGAGCCTCACCTCACATCTGACCCCCTCATCAAAATGCTCCCTCCCCCATTAGCTTCTCAGAGGTCAAGCATACCGCTGTTAATTCTCCTTAGCCCCATTCTGCAGGTGAACCAGCAGCCCAGAGGCATCAAGTAACTCTCCCAACACAGCAAGTCAGGATGGGTGAGGACCCAAAGCCAGTGCCAGTCACACTGAGAGAGCCCTGGGGAGCACGCAGGAAAGCTTCCTAATGCGACCCTCACCCCTGAAGCCAGGATGCAGTGACAGGGGATGGGGGGGGCGGTGGAGGAGTCATCAGGGCTGTGGGGAGGGCTTAGAGCTGTTCCAACACAGCGGAGGGAGTGGGCACCCCTGAATGCAATAGTCATCAGCACGTACACGTTCATGGAGTGGGTTTATCACATCTCCTTCCCCGGTGGCTGTGGGGTGTAAGGGGATGTGGGTACTAGTCGCTGACGCCAGGACTACTAGGCAATTCCAAAATGAGAAACTGGAGGAGCCTTAGACAAGTCCCACAGTCCTGCCACTGCCCTGCTGGAGGCGGGCATGTCCCCTAGAGCATCCTCAGCTTCAGAATCTGTAAAATAGGTGGGTTGGAATAAGATCCAGTCTGGGAGCCATACTGTCTCTGCAGGGCCATTTTCAGTTGTCACAGTGATGGGAGGGAGTCACCTACTAGCCTACGTCCAGGCAGGGGTCAGAGACGCCGTGGGTGGGACAAGCTGCACAATGAAACACGGTCTTGTCCAAATGCCAACAGTGCTCCGGGGAGAAATAGCAGCCAACGACAACATATTGCCATGTGCCAGGCACTGTCCTAGTGCTTTGCTCACTTCCTCTCAGGTCATGCTCACATCCCCATGAGCTAGGGGTATTTTTATCCCTACCTCACGGATGAGGGAGCCAAGGTACTGAACCTCTGATAGTCACATAGCCGGGGACACAGAGCTGTGCAGGCTGCCCCTGCCCCGTCCACTCCACTGCACTGGCCCGGAGGGTCTCTCGGCCCTGCCCAGTTCTAACAACCTGGGAGCTCAGGCTTGGTTTTCCCGAATTTCAAATGGAGGGATTTGGGGCATCATGACAGGCCCTGTGCTGAGGCTTGGAGGTTCAGGCTGGGAGAGCAATGCACAGCAGCTTCTGACAGTCGGGCCCTGCTCAGGCTTCTAGATCCCTCGTGATGGCTCAACACTGGCTTCTCCTTGAAGTCTGCGCCCTCTGGGCTGAGCAGTGTGCACACACAGGCACATGGACACACACACACCATACAGACACACACACACATGAGCGCACGCACACACGGGAAGGACAGAGGCCACATGGGGGAAGGAGGCAAATAACTTGCAGGATTAGAACCCAGGCCTTGCCCCAAGCTGGTCAGGCTGTCCAAAAGGCCTCTCTCCAGGGGACTGGGTCCCAGCCCAACTACAGCGCGTCCCACTCCCTCCCTCAGCCCTCTCAGGCCTGCCTTTTCTGAGCTTCTCCAATGAGCTGGGCAAATGCTGCCTCTTTTAGCCTCCCTTCCTTCCTTTGATCATGTAACAGGAACAAGGGAAAAGTAAAAATACCGAGTGAGTGAAAGGAGCCACCAAGAGCAGAGGCTGGGGGTGGGGCGGGAGAGGGGCGGGAGAGGAGCCAGGCTGATCTCCCTTCCCCCACCAGGCTGCCTCCAGCTGCAGGGGAGGGCAGGGCCAGCTGGGGTGGGGGGGCTTGGAGCCCTCAGACCACCTCCCCCCAAGTCCAAAACAGCCAAAAGCTCAAACGTGGGATAGTTAGGGGGGACCCCTCCCCAGGTGAAATCACCAGGATGGCTGCAGGGCCAAGCCAGCGTGGCCCCCAGGTGGGTCTCTTCCCCCTCTCCTTCACTCTGCCTCCCCTTCCCTCCTCTCCCCTCCAGCCCCTGCATATTCATCCCCTCTCTGGGCCTTGCTAGATTCTTTGGCTCCAGGGAAGGACAGGGCCAGAAAGGAAGGGATGAGGAGCAGAAGAAGAGCACGTAGTCATCGCCACACAGCAAGAGTCCACCGGCGAGCAGCATTTTCTAGAACATTCTCTCCAGTGAAGGGGATGTGAGGGGAACTGGAGGAATGACCACAGTTTACCCTTTCACCCCCAGCCCAGCCACCCCCACCGTCTCAGGGCCCCTCTGAAATAGGAGGGCCTGCATAGAGGAACTCCCCAGACCCGCCTCAGTGACCCCTTCCAAGGCCTAACAAGCAGGAGTTCCCTGCTCCTCCCATGTCTAATGGAAATCCTGCCCTCGGCAACCAGGGCCCGAGCCAGAAGGAACCACAAACCACAGAACCACCACCAGACCCAGAGAGCTACCGGGATTTACCAAACTCCAATTCAGTCTTCACTGAGCTTCTTTCTGTTCTCCCAAAACTAAGGAAGTAGAATTCTCCCAGACACCAAAACAAAGCAAAACAAAGGGCAGAGTCAGAGGGAAAGACCTGCCTCGGGGGCAGAACCCAACGGCTAGGATGGCTCCTGTGTTCAGCCCTCTGAGGGAAATCGCAGCTCCTGGCTCCGCCACAGGCCAGCCCCTCAGGGTTCAGCGAAGAGGCCTGGCCTGTCCCCATCCCCTGTCCCCCACCTTCCTTGGGCCTCTGAATCCCACTGTCCTGCTGGCAGCCCCTTCCCTCAGCTTTCCCCGTGCTCCCTCCAGCATTATTTCATCTCTGTTCACCTTTGCCTCCACTGGCCCAGCCCGGCCCAGTGCTCAGAAGAGCTGGGACTTGTGAATGGAGGCGTGGAGTCTGTTTTGAATCTCCCGAGCTGTTTAGAGGCCTCATCGCCCATATCTCACGTTTCCACAGAAGGAGGGGCTGGCCAAAGGGGGAACTGAGGGAGAACCTGAGGCTCCTCACCACCTTCCTATAACTCCCCCCACCCATGGGAGGCTGTGTGGCCCCGAGACGCTACCCTGCAAGCCACCTGTGGCCCCCTCTCCCCCATCCCCCTTGGGACCCCGCACAGGCTGGGCAGAGGTGTGGTTTGCTGGACAGTCTCCTCTCAAATGGACAGGCCTAGACCCAGGGAGCAGGTACTCAGAAGCAGTGCCCACCCAGCTGCCCCAGTGACAAAGCCCATACTTTGATTTCCACCTGGACGATTCCGGGTCCATGGGGACATGGGATGACCAATTAGCGCCCTCAAACGGTACCAGCACAGCCCCCTCCCCAGCTGGACCACAATAACTTGAAGGCATCCTGTCATACTCGCGGTATCTCTGCATCCCACCGGCACGGCGCCCAGCATCCCCGCTCAGCATGTGTGGAAGTGAACGAAGGAGGCGATGTGAATGAATGATTCCTGGGTGCTTTCCACCCCTCCCCCGGGTAGTCTATTTCTGTATTAAGAGGACAAACAGCCCTGCTCCCAGGCACTGGCCCAGCCCTGGCCACGTTCTAAGAGCAAGGAGGAAGGTGCAGTGGAGGTCTGGGCCGGGGACCCCCTTCCTTTCACTTTCCTGAGCCACCCCTGCTCGCCAGCCTGGATCCTGGATCAGGAATTTGCCCAAGTTCAGAAACCCCAGACCTCACTTCACAAGCCATCCCCCTCTGTTCCAGCAAAACGACAAGAGTGGGATGCAGAGGAGATAGGTTCTGTGCTCGGCATGTGGTGAGCAGCGGAGAAACACCTGTGGAAGGGAAGGAGGGAGGAGGGGAGGGATGGAAGAAGTAAGTCCTTAGCTTAATACCAATGGAAACTAAGGAAAGGAAAACTTTAAATCCATCACCCCATGATTCCCTCCAGCCTCCTCCCTGGGATGCTCACCCTTCAAGTAGCAACGGAAATCCTTCCTCCTCCAGGAAGGTTGCCCTGATTATTCCAGTTCCCATTATCTCCTTCCTCTACAATTAATGCGGTAAAGCCTCTTTCTGTTATTTGTCACTGAGAAGCCTGGGAGCACATTAAGGGCCTGTGTGGACAGCACCGACCTCATCTCTGTATCCCCTTTGCCTAGCCCAAGGCTCAGAACACAGGAGAGTCTCAATAAATGACCAGACAGAGCCGGGTCCCCACCCAGAGCCAGCAAGGCAGCCACCCCCTCCGAGGCAGAGTCCGGGGCAGGGGGTCTGCAGCAGCAATCCGGGTCCACGGACAGGGACTCAGACCTTGCACTGAATTCTTACGAACCACTTGCACGGTCAGCACAGAACACGATCCCTTCTGCCGCGACCATTCAGTTATTCAACAAGTCATCAGAACAAGTGCTGAGCAGCCACTGTCTGCCAGGCTCTGCTCTGTGCACTGGGAAAACCGCAGGGAAGGAAAGACATCCCTGCGGAGCCAACGCCCCGGTGGCGATGGCACAGGAGAGCTACACACAGATACAGCTACACACAGATATGCGGCACTTCAGCGAATTGAGGGGCTATCAAGAAAAGAAGGCAGGTGAGGAGACAGGGAAGGACCCAGAAGGGCTTTTTCAGAAAAACACAGGGAAGGCTTCTCTGAGGAGGTGGCTTTGGAGTAAAGATTAAAAACAGTGAAGGCATTAGCCATGAATCTGGGAGGAAAGCGTCCCATGTAGAGAGAACAGCAAGTGCAAAAGCCCTGAGGTGGGCATGAGCTTGACATTCATTGTTCAAAGAACAGCAAGGAGGCCAACATGACTGGAGGGCAGTGAGAAGGGGGAGAGGCAGAGGAGGTCAAAGAGGGCACTGAGCACGAGATCAAGCAGGACCTGTGGGCCACAGCGTGGTGGATGGAGCAATGAGGGCCCACAGGAGGGATGAGAGCATAGCGATATGACAAGCCCCATGACAGGAGAAACCTGAGGCTCAGAGGGCAGTCACCTGCTAAGGCCACAGTGGCTCACAACAGCTGGAGGGTGAAGCAAGCACATCTCATCGGCCCTCGGTCCACAGTTCAGCCCATGAAGCACCCAGCCCTGACCTTCCCCGTCTCCCAGAGCCAGGGGGCCAGCCACCAAGCTCAGGCTAGCCCAGATCCCCACCAACCCGCAGCCCCACTTCTGTGCAGACCCTCAGGCCCCTCCTGTCCACCCCAACTCACTGCACCCCCACGTGCCACCCCACCCCCAGTTTTCAGGCACAAGACCCAAGTGGGCAAGAGTCTTTGTCTGCAGCTGTTACTATTGTCCTTAAATCAGAGCTCCCCCACTTGGCACTCCCCAGGCCCCCGGCTTAGCGAACCAACATCCAAACTCCACTGTCTCGCACAGCTGTGAACAGAATGACAGCCGTGGGTGGGACTTCCATCCCTAGGCCATGCTGAGGCCAGGCACGCAGAAGGGGCAGCGACATCTGCGAAGCAATCACCCGCCAGAAACTTAAGAATCCAGGTCAAGTCCCCGATCTTTATTTCTGTATTCAAATCTAAAAATAACCCTGTAGCAACGACAGTGTTTTTACTAGAAGACATGCCCCCAACCAGAAAACAGGTCCAGGGGCTGGTTTCTGTGCCCTGAGGACCGGAGGGTAACTGGGTAGACCAAGTGTGGGGGACAGGACAGGACCCGAACCTCCTGGTCCTGATGCCGGCGGCCCCGCCTGGGACAAGCGGGGGCCGAGCTCTCCTGGGACTCACCATTGTCACAGCCAAGGGGGGGCCAGCGCTTTCTCCAGGGGAACAGAGCTTTAACTAGACACCACAGCTGGCTCGGCCCTGTGGCTCGGCCCCAAAATGGCACAGGCTGTCACTACAGCTTGGCATTTCCCAATTACCACAGATAATATCCACCTTAATTGAAAGGGGGTCCAGATAATGTCATTATGCACAGCATTCCCCAATTTATTTAATATACGTGTGTACACATATATTTCTGCCTCGCTGCTGCCACGAGATTGCTAAACGGTGAGGTTAATAATAAAACATTTCGACAGGAGTCATCCGCTTTAATTTAAGGGGTGATTCTCACTGTCCCTGTGGTGCTCGTTTTTCCAAGGAGCCAAGGGATACCAGGACAGGCTGGCAGAGGCTGCCTCAGGCCCGCGGGCTAGGAGGCAGGCTAGGAGGCAGGGCTGGCAGCCCCACGGGCTGGGCATCATCTTTTCTAAGCAAGTTCCATCACTACACCTCCCTTCCAGAAGCAGGGTCAGGCAGGGAAAGAGAGGTGGAGGGGAGTAGCGGGCAACCGAGGCAGAAGCCCCCAGAGCCAACTCCAGGACCGGCGGGAGAAGGAAGCTCCTTGGGAATGCGGAGCGGCTGGGAGGCAGCAAGCAGGGAGACGGTCAGTGGGAGAGAGGCAGAGCGAGCAGACAGAGGGAGGCCGGAGATGGTACAGGGCCAGGAAAGAAACGGAGCTGCCAGGAGCGAGGGGACGGGCAGCCTGCACTCTGCAAGGCCAAAGGCAGTGAAATCTCTAAATTAATTCTTGATAGTCCCCTGCTAACTGGGGCAGAGTTGACAGGAAAACGAACCCTCCCTGCTCTCTCCGGGAGCTGACACCAGGCAGAAAGCAGGTGTCCTCTGCTCCAGGCCCACTGCCCCCCAGGGGAAGCCCCTTGGCGCCCTCCCTCCAGTTGGCCTGGACAGCTGGCAACTCTTCTGCCAGCCCCAGCGAGCAGCGCCGGAGCCCAGATGCCAGTGCCCCCCACGCCTTCTCCGGGCGGCACAGGCAGCTCCCACTCTGCAGAAACGAGATAACCTTCCAGCCAGCAGCCAGCGGGCCCAGCTGCCCAGGCTGCCAGCGGGGCCTGCCCACTGCAAAGTTGGGTTCTAGGCCCAGCAGAGGAGGACAGTGGGGGTGAGCAGATGTCTTGGGCTGGGTGGTAATTAGGGGCTGCCGGCTCCACACTTGTCTAGCGGAGAGGATGCGCCTACTGGCTGTAATTATAAAGCTCAGAAGCCTGTGCATCCTGGTCCCATCTCTTCCTGCCAGCTGTCCCCCTGCAGTGGGGTGGGTCCCGGTGTGGCCAAGCATCCTGGAGGTTGGGCTGGGGAGCCCCCAGGAAGGGGGTGGGGGCCGTAGAGCCCCTCTGGCCTGGCCGGTCCCCTGACCCTTCTGGGTAACACACTGCTCACTCACACCTCACCACCGGCCCTCTCACCTACCTCGGCTGCCTGCCTGCCGCTGTGCAAGGCGCTCCCTCCTGGAGACGTCACGCCTCCAACAGAATGAAGCCGCCCAGACGCAAGTTGGGGGAGGAGGCATGAGGGAGGGAGGGAGGGAGGGAGGAGCGGCCTACGGCCTACGCTAGGCTACTAAGGCCGAGAAAGCGGCTCAACTCCTGAAATGCTCCCCACTGCCTGTGCGGGACCTGCTCTGTGTGACATGCTGCATGCCCCCCACCATCCCGTACACCTCCCCTGAAAACCCACCATCACTAGAGCACTTCTTTGGGATCAGCATTGCCGTCTTCCTCTCTGGGTCGCTATTAAATGCAAACATCCCTGAGAGGGGTAGCCATTGAAGTGACGAAGACCTCAGGGAGGGATCATTTTTTGGCATTTTTGTCCCTGAGAGGTGTGACAGTGTTGACAGGTAGGGGAAAGTTTAAGACTGAAAGGACAGAAGTTGGGGGGACGTGAAGACAGTGGGCACCTGATTCATAAGTGGGCAGGCATGCCCAGCCAGGGCTGAGCAGAGGCTCACGGGCACCGTCCCCAAAGGCCGCCGCCATCCCAAGGACAGGTCTCTGACTAAGGGCTGGAGAGGCCCTCCAGGAAATGGTCCTCTGGGGGGCCAGGGAGAGGGACAAGGGCTCTGACCCCCACTCTCCACTGTAGACAGGCCCTCTTCAGAGGCCCTGGCCACTAGCCCCTAGGGCCTGCCCAGGACAAGTGACAAGCCCCTTGCCCAGTGCGTGACCACACCCAGGAGCCTCCAGACTCCTCTGCAGGAATTCTCTCCGCCACCTCAGGAAAGGTCCTCAGGAAAGGCTCCTGCAGGTCCTCAGCTCTTCAGGGACGTTCTCCTACCGCCTAGGCCCCAAGGCCTCTGAGGAGCTGAATATGCACACCCAGAGCCTGAGGCCAGCACCCCATGTGGGTCTGCAGGAAAGTGGGGCAGGCCCAGGCGCATCCTGGGGGACTGGGGAGATGGGAAGTAGAACATTCTTCAGTTCCACCATGCCGGCCCCAGGGATGTGAGGCTGTGGGAATAGGGTACTCAGTATGGAGACTCTCAGGGTGCCTGAAGCCCTGCCTGCCCTGAGCCCCCACTGTCATCCTAGGATGGAGGAGGGGAGTGACTGTGATGGGAACACACACACACACATACACACACAAACACACACTACTCCCTCCCCCATCACAGAAGGCTTTCTGCCAGACTGACAGAGGAGCAGACAGACTAACCACCAGCTCCAACAGACACGTGGCTTCGGGCACCCCACTAGGCAAGCCCCGCTCAGTCCCACACAGCGGCTTTCTCCCGCACCAGGGGCAGGGACGGTGAGAGGGGGGGAAGATGCAAGAAGCCTCCTCCAAAAAGGGCCGAAAGTCTCAAGGCGGGGGTGTCACTCGTGGCCTCGGGGCAGGGGGCGCTCGTACGTTCGGGCCTCAGGACTCCCCGCCGCCGCCACGGCAGCCCCGTTTCAGCACAAACAGCCTCAGACCGCCCCGGTGCGGGGGCGCCTCTCTCAGTCGGGCCTCCACCTCCCAGCCCCGCCCCCGCGCGGGGAGGGGGCGCTTCCAGCTCTCCGGCGCCGGGGAAGCCCGACCCCGGAGGGGACCCCCCAACACACACACACACACACTCACACACACACACACACAGCCCGGCTGGCCGCGTTAGGGACACCGGATCATCAGCGTCCCGGAGACGGTCGGTCACGAGTGTTCGAGCGGCACCTGACCCTGAAGTCCCGGGGCCGCGGGGAGACCCCAGACCCTGAAGTGCCGTCCCAACCCGCCGCGGCCGCGAGCAAGGCGGGCGCCGGGCTCCGGCCGGCGGCGAAGGCGGCGCTGGGGCGGCCACGGGAGTGGGACGCAGTGCCGGCGAAAGGAGCCGAGGCGCGCGAGGCTGGCGCTGCCCTCCCGCCGGGAGACGGCGGGGAAGGGGTGCCAACGATGCCCCGCGCCCCCGCCGGCCCTGCCTCTCCGCAGAGGGGGCGCGCTAGTGCCGCCGCCCCCACCTGAGAGCTGGCACGGCCCCCCACCCGGGAGAACCTGACATAACCCCCACACACAGGGACACTTTCCCCCAGGCCCGCTGCCCCATTCCCTCCCTTGGGGGCATTCGGAAAGCCAGCCCCAGCCCCGAGGGAAGACCCTCCAGCCCGGGCCCGCGCCCTCCAGCCCCGAGGGCTCCGGGGCGCCGGCCCTCCTCCGGGCAGCCCGGAGCGCGAGAGCTCGTCAGAGGCCACCTCCCCGACCCCGGTGTCCCCGCCGCAGCCCGCGCCCCAGAGGCCGGAGGGCACTGTCCCCTCTGCCCGTTCCCCGCGGGCCACAACTCACCGCGCGCCGGCGAGGTCTGAGCCGCGGCGAGGGGTCGGCTGCGCGCCCGCCCGCCCCGGGGACGCAGGGAGGCGGCGGCCGGATCCTCGGTTCTCCCGGCGCCCGGAGCCCGGGCCGCGGCGGGCGGCGCTGACGCTGCGGACCGAGCCGGGCGCGGAGCCGCCCGGAGTCCGGGACGCAGCGGAGATGAGCAGGCGGCCGCCCCGCCAGAGCCGCCGCGAAGCGCGCGGCGTGCGGCTGCTGCTCCGGCGAGAGCGAGCGAGGCAGGGAGCGCGGCGAGCCCTGCCCCGGCCGCCGCGGAGCCCAACGTCCGAGCCGGGCGGGCGGGCGAGGCGGCTCCGGGGAGCGGGGTCCGGCCGAGGGCTCCGCGCTGGGAAGGGAGCGGAGCGGGAGCCAAGCAGCGCGCGCAGCCGGCCGAGATGCGGGCGCCCGGCGGCGCCGCGGCAGCGACAGCAGCAGCAGCAGAAGGAAAAAATGAGAGCGAGCGAGAGAGCGCGCTGGAGAGCGAGCGAGAGCCAGGAAGAGCAAGGGAGACGCGGAGAGGGGAGGCTGCGGGAGGGGGCGGGGGCGCCCGGGAGCGCGAGGGGGCGCGGGGACCGCAGCCGCTCGGCCCTGGCACCCACTGCCGCTGCCGCACTCGAGAAGGCGCAAGCCCAGCCCGGCAAGTTTGCGCCGCTAGTGCGGGCAGAGCGCGCGGCGCTTCCGCTGGCCTTTTAAAGAGAGAGCGCCCGGGAACCCACCCCCGACCCCGCACCTCCACAGCCGGAAGGCTGGGGCTCTCGAAGCGCCCCGCCACCCCTCCACACCCGCCCCGCCATCTGCTCGCGGTCCCACCACGCCCCACCGGCGCCCTCTCCTGGAAGCCCCCTGCTCCCTCTTACATTCCCCCTCCCTCCCCCGGGGCGAGTGTCAGCTCTTTGACCCAGAGGATGTGGCAGGGACCCCTCCTGACCCCAAAGGTCGGGGGTCAGAGAACACACCCTCCTCCCACATACCCTGAGAAGTACAGCAAAGCACAGCACCGCAGAGGGGCTGCACTCCCCCCACCCCCGTGCGTCACCAGAGCCCCCACCTGCAGGGCCGCTTCTCACACATTCGTGCGCATGTGGCCTGTGCCCCCATGTGGCACGTTCATTTGCACGCCCCACTGCTCCTGGTTTGAGCAGATGACACAGGGAAACTGAGGCCCAGTGAGGCGATTCCACTTGCCCCTGGTCACACAGCCTGTCAGGGGGCCCTTTCCACTGAGGCCCACTCCACCCCAGAAGCCCACCAGGCTAGGGGGACCCCGGCCCCATGGCTCACCGCCCGCTGGTCTCCCTCCAGCACTGGTTTGCAAAGTGTAACAGGTGGCCTGGCTGGCAGACTGGAGGCAGCCTGGGGAAAAATCCCTCAGCTAGGGAGGAGCTGGAGCCCCAGCTCTCCTCCTTCCCAGGGGGGCTGTGAAAACTCCCAGGAGAGGGCTGGCCTCAGAGGCAGGCAGAGGAGGAAGAGCGGGAGGGAGCCGTGAAGCCCTCTTAGGATTACAAGAGCAGCTCTCCCAGACTGCAGAAGCGCCTTCAATTAGAGCCGTGACGTGTGACTGTCCTTGTCCCAGAGATGGTGCTCAGCACGACGCCAGGGAACTGGGAGGAGAGAGTGGTGGCCAGTGGCCTCCCTCCCCATCAGTACCTCAGTCCTCCTGGCTGACTTACGGAGTGCCACCCTGTGCTCAACTGCCACCAGTGCTGAGGGAACTCAGCCCCTTCACAGCCCAACCCCAGTTTCCACAGATAACCCCTTCCAGGTCAGGGGAATGTCGAGGGGGTCTGGGAATAGCAGTGCCTACCCTTTCTCCCTCCGCACCCCTTCTGCAACATCTCTGCCCTTTCCAAAGACCCGCTCGGGCGCCCCTCCTCCAGAATTCCAGACCACGCCAGGCCGGAAGCACGTCTTGTTCACTGTGGTTCATCCAGTGCCTGGCACCATGCCAGGCCCATAGTGGGAGCTCAGTGAATGTTTGGTGAATGAATAAATGTTGGCAAAGCATGAACTCCTTGCTGTCACGTGTAATGGCCCCAAATACATGTCTCATTTACCCAGTCAGACCGAAGTCTCGGATGGAAGGGCCTACATCATGCATTTATTCATGCCTTTTCTCTATGCAGCCTGCACTCATGGAGATCCTGCTCCACTCCCAGGCCTGGGACTACACAAACGACTGAACGCTGCCTTGCCCTTGAGGAGCGCACCCCGGCCACGTGCACCTCAGCACAACAAATTTTATAAAGACACAAGCTGAGGCCACCACGGCTCCGCTGTCAGCGGCTCTGCCCAGCCAAGTGTGCGCTGTTCGGGACTCGCAGGAACCTCAAGTCACTCCTGGAGAGGCTGTGTCCTTGGGAACAGCCTGCCTGGGTTCAAACCAAACCCCACTGGTGCCTGGGTACCCCCGCCCCGGGCCCCTCAGGTTCCTTCCTGCAGAACAAGGAGCTGGAGGCTGGCCTCAGAGCAGAGGCTCCGGGATGGCGTGCATGAAGCTACCAGCTGAGGGGGTGCTGGGGGCTCAAATTCAGCCTGCCCGGGGCGTGACAAGTGACAGGTCCTCTCTTGAGGCTGTGTCTGCCCAAAAGATGGGAGCCCTCTGTCTGGCTCAAGCAAAGGTACCATACGGGCTACACCTGGGCCCTAGTGGCAAGGCAGTCACCAAAAAGGGAAGTTCTTTTGGACTAATGTATACACAGCACCCAGTCCTGTGTTGAGATGCGCATAAGTGGGAGACACTGCGGTTTTTAACACAGAATATAGTCCTCCATATCCTTCTGTTGAATCAATGAATGGATGAATGAATGAATGAAACTGAAAATAGATGGGCCATGGTTTATTGAGAGCCAAAACTCAGCCCCCAGCCACTGTCCCCACCCCCTGCCCCTCAGTGTTGCCTTCGCTCCGGCCATAATTATCCCGCCCCCACCCCCCAGCAGCTGTGTGGCAGAAGGCTGGGCAGGCTATATTTTTCAGGGGTTAAAAAAAGAAACACTGTTGGCTGGCAGATGGCTGAGTTTGTGGACTCGTCCAGTTTGAAGGTTCCCAGCCTGAGGCCCAGCTCTTCTCGGCAGCCGTCCTGGGCCCCCCCCAGGCCTCCAGGCCTTCCAGACCCAGAGTGGTCAGGCCTCCCGCCCTCACCTGGGAGCCCCGGCCTGGTCCAGCAGGGACACTGTTGCTGATGTCCCTCTTGCTGACCTTGGGGCTGACTTGACTTATCATGGAGACAGACACACAGAAACACACAGACACACACACACTCACATACATAGAGACATGTTCAGATACAGACACACACAGAGACACACATACATACACGACCACACACAGAGAGAAAGACACCCTCGGACACAGACACACACACAGACACGCTCGCACACACCTCAAGGAACTTCAATTGTTGTCCCCTGCCCCGAGGGAGCTGCGAGCATGGCGTGGAAACGCGGCAGCTCCAGAGCAGCCTCTGTGAAAGAAGAGTGACCAGAAGTGACCTCCAGGAGTCACGGAGCAAGGGCCCCGGCCTGGGCCAGCCAGTGCAAGGGCCCGAATTCCAAACTGTCCTCTTCAGCAAGCCGCCTCGCCCCTCAGAGCAGAGCTCCGACCAGGAGGAGGGCACGGGGCTGGCAGCAGGAGGCCAGGTCGTCAGTGCGAAGACAGTGAGCTGAGGAGTCGCCCAGCCTCTCTGAGCATTAGTGTCCCCACTAGTGAGATGAGGGGCTGGCGGAGGTCTCCCTAAGGATGCTGGGAGTCGGGGCTGGCTCTCCTTCTGAAACCTTTAAAGGAGGCTGACCTCACTGACACTTGTGGGATAAGCAGGGTGGTCCTTCTGATCCCATGGGCACAGGTTTACCCACAGAAAAGGAGACACCACCCCAGCACTAGGGGAGAGAGGACTCGCCGGGAGGAGAGAAAGAGGCAGGTAGTCCTGCAAAAAATAATCATATGGAGTCCTGCACCAGTGCATCACACCTCTGTGACCTGGCAGTTCTTCCTGAGGTCTGACCCAACTCCCTCCTGCTGCAACAGATTCTTTCTTCCTGCTCTAGTCTGGCCTCCCAGGTAAGGGAAAACAACTTGCCCGGCCAGTCCCACCCAGTGTGTTGGCAACTCACACCTACCGAGCTGCATCTATGACTTCTCCATTTCAAAAGAATCCTAATAGGAGAGGGCAATTGTCTTTGAAGATCCTTAAGTTTAGAATTTGTTGAAATGTATCAAAGCGAGCTTGAAGGTGCAGGGCCCAGGGGAGAGCCTGGCAGGCCTGGAACAGCTGATAAATGGTCCCCACGTTGAGTTGACCCAGCCACTGCCTCAGCCTCGGTGTCTGATGGGTTTCAATTTTGGTTTCCCCTAAACCAGGCCATTAGATGGAGATGTTTCTGATGGAGGAGTGTGTTTAAACAATAACTGTCTCCCGGCAGGACATTTCGAGGATGAAGAGCTGACTACAAGGGCACGCAGTGGGCCTCAGGCTCTCCGGAGAGTCGTAAGTGACCCTGCGGGCACGGAGGAGCTGAGGAGGCCTGGGGTCAGAGGCCGAAGCCCCCAAGTTAAGAATCCTGGGGTAAGCTGTTCTTACTCTGCCCCCCGGGGGACCCCAGCCCCTCTCTTTTGCATGGACACACTGAGTCTCAAGGGCGCGGTGACTCTGAAATTCCCCCAGCTGGGCTCTGGGACAGGCTGGGACCAGGCGGGTGACCCTCCTGCCACCCCTGAGGGCTAGCAGACGAGGGACCCTGGAATCGGCTCTTCCCTTAAGCTGGTGTGGGAACAACCTCCAGGAATCCTCCCGCAGGAATCCTCCAGAACTTTCTCGAGCCTTCGGCTTGGAGTAACAAGCTGGCTAAAGCCACAAGCCGCTTTTCACTGTTCCAAAACCCAAAAAGTACACAAGCTTGTCCATAAGTTTTC